TAGACTGTATGGTTGTTATTTTTATTCAGTCTATATACTGGAACTTATTTTAATTCAGTCTATATACTGGAACTTATTTTAATTCAGTCTATATACTGGAACTTATTTTAATTCAGTTTAGACTGAATGGTTCTTAATTTAATCCAGTCTATATACTGGAACTTATTTTAATTTAGTTTAGACTGAATGGTTGTTATTTTAATTCAGTCTATATACTGGAACTTAATTTAATCCAGTCTATATACTGGAACTTATTTTAATTCAGTTTAGACTGAATGGTTCTTAATTTAATCCAGTCTATATACTGGAAGTTATTTTAATTCAGTTTAGATTGTATGGTTCTTAATGTTAACTCAATTTAGACTGTATGGTTCTTAATGTTAACTCAGTTTAGACTGAATGGTTCTTATTTTAATTCAGTCTATATACTGGAACTTGTTTTAATTCAGTTTAAGTACATTATATCTTTTGCTCTCAGAAAGATTTACTTTTATACTCATTACTAACTGTGTGTAGAAGCACTCTACATAAATAAAGAATGCATTTTATATTTGACTTAAAGTTTAATTCAGACTATACATCCTATAATATATATATGCATAGCTGATTTTTTCGAGATTCAATTTCATTTGAATATTTGAGGGTGATTTTGTGATTAGCAGAGCCCTAGTTAATAACTTTAGTTGGTTGCAAGAGAATTTTACTTTTTGAGAAAATGAGATATTTATTTACTGAATATTTGCTTTAGAGGTATTACAATAAGTTGCTAAAGATAAATGAAAACAACATAATTTGTGCAAAAAAGTGCTCTTTTTATATCAAAAAATGCTGAACTTTTTTGTACTTATTGAGTGATTAAAATATTAATATCCCTTATATACACCAGTTTATACAAATACAAAACATAAATTTTATATCCAGTATATCAATTGAAGATTTCAAATTAAAGTAAAATGGAACTAACCTTCTTTTGACACATTTAGTATTTTCTGGGAAATAGGAACTGAGGATTCAAGTGCCACTTGAGTAGATGTAGCTGTGCTTCTCCGCGTATGAACTCGAGCAAAACTATCATTGATGGATTTTTCTTCATTTTCATCTAATACCACCAATGGTGGGAAGAAAGCAGATTGTGGTTGAAGTTGAATAGTCGCTTCCTCTTTTTTAATGGTTGCTGCTAATGCCTTGGCTCGACTGATATAACAGGAACGTTTATGACAAATGGCTAAATGGCGAGCTACAAGAGAATCAATAGATTCTTAGGTTTGGGAATTTTTACATAAACATCAAGCTGTAAATTATTCATGATGTTAGAAAAACATGTAGGTTCAAGAAGTCTTGATAGAAATGAATAAAACCCTATAACCCGAGCACTTTCAAAAAGTGGACCTTTCTTATTCACTAGTTATATTTAGGAATTCTTAAACGTAACAACTAAATTGCAAGCTAACAATCATTCATTAAGTTCAATTTAAGAAATCTCACAATGGCTAAATCATCATTAAATTTAGGAACATTTACAACACTTGGATGAACATGCTGAACTTTAAATAATTTTTTGAAGTTTTTTAACTAATGATTAATTAGTGAGGTATAAATAAACCATGGCATTAATGGAGATTCTCACCCTTGGCCCATTAAGAAATATACTGAGATGCTACTTTAGGTTTCTTTTCCTCAATCATGTAAGTTGAACAAACCAATTACAAAATCATCTGTAACTTATGCAGTGCCACAGTCTTCACACACTTTTCTTTTGCATACACTAGTGGTATAGCCATGCTACTATCAAAGTTACATGTGTGACCTTCTTAGATTACCAAAGGGTTGAAAGGAAAAAGGAGAGGAAAGCATTCCTATTGGAATAGCATATCATCTACTGAGATGCAGCTAAAAGTAGTTTAAAAGGCTTTAATTTAAACTCCTATAACAAATCAAATTTTGAGATAGCAAGCACATAATGTCGTAAAAAGTTTATCACATCTGTCACAATATTTGTACAAATTTTCATCCAACTGATATATATGGGGCTATTTTAGTACAATACAATATTCTCCCTTTAGGATCGTTCACAACTAATGAGCTACAAATTATTTATTACATTGCATTTGCTTATTGTGGTGATGTGAATTCAATGTATTACATATCAATAGTAAAAGTTATTCTATAATTCTTGTATAAAAACAACTGTCCAAGAGACAAAATGTTAGAAAAAATTTACTTGTACAATCCCCTTCCCATAAAGCACACAGTATATTTGTTCCACCTTGTCCCACAAAATACACATAAAGCATAACTTAACTTTGATTATGTTTACTAGCAAATAAAAGTAAGATTTTTAATCAATTGGAGACACTATATTTTCCATATAATGATGCTGACCAGCCTTTACACACCATACTGAATATAGTACTTTTTTAAAAGCTAGGAAAACGACTCAAACAACATGTAAATATGTTTTAAAGTGTCTGATACAAAACGCCCAAACCGTTATCATGATACATACCTATAACCACAAACATTTTAGGAAAGTAATAAATAATAATAGATGAAATAAAACTTGAGTTAAAAATAATAAATATACTGTCTTGTTACTTTGTTTTATTTAAAAACAAAAACACTAAAAACATTGCTCACTATACCTTTTTTTTACGTAAAATAGATTTAATCTCAGCAGAATATCAGTTTTATGTTCAAACATCTATAAGATTTACTATACAGTGTGGAAACAAGATTCACAGTACATATCACTTGCAATACAAAGGTGCTGGTAATATTCAGATCTACTGTGTTCTCTGGCTGTTACTTTTTTTTTTATAATGTGAGTGGGATGTATGTATTAATAATAATAATTTTGGTATCTTATACACCTATATTTCATTCCTGTATCTTATGATTTTTACATGTGGTCATTATGAGACATGTAGAACACCCCCACCCAAATACACATAGATGCTTCGATACAGACCTGTTCATGGTTTTCATTAGTGTTGCCATGAACTAAAACAGTAAACTCTTTTAAAATATATATATTTTCATTTAACATTAAAGCTTCTTGTAATTTAGAATATGTTTTATTATTTCTAGAACTAGAAGTAAAATTTTACTGGGTTCTTATGGTAAAATAAAGTAATAGAAGTAATTTAGATATGTTTGTTAGCATATGAGTTAATTAGGGTTTGTAATTTTAAGTAATACATATAATTATTTATAGAGTTTGTAGTTTGGCTTAGGTTTCTCTCTAACCTGCTAAGTATGTTTTTAAGCAACAGAACAGATGTTATGAAAAACAAAAACTTGTCCAACAGGCATTGAATAACTATTTCACACTATTATCAAACAATACAGGTAAAATTAACTGTTTTGGTCATTGGGTAGCATGAATTCCAGACTTCTGCTTGATAACATTAAACCACATTCTTAAATATTTCCCACAATTATCAAAGAAAACTTCCCTCAATGTCAAACCATATGTAAAACCCACTTATCATCTCACAAATAAACTTTCACTGTTAATAAGTTTATTAATGATTCAAATTTCAACACCAAGAAAGAAAATAACTTGACTATAAATACACTGTAGTCTAGTGTAATACTTACTAAGATCATTTTCATAATGGTGTTATAGTAAGTTATAATTTTCATATACTGAAAATGTATTTCCAATAGGTACTTACCTCTTCTCACAAGATTAGCTATTCTGTTCAGTGCTGCCCTCTATATGCAAACGTTTTCTTTAAGCATGCCACAAGCCTTCCCTATTGCAAGATTCCAACATGTCTCTCACACAAATCATCATGCTTCACCTCCTCACCAATAAGAGCACGACATGCTCACATGATGCATGTGACTCCCTCTACAGTCCTCTACCAAACTATCACTTTGAAGTTTAGCAAAAGATGTCAGCACTGGAGAAATGTGGGGAGGAAGGGTGGGAATGTGAGTAGAGGGAAGTACCTATCTGTAATACATTTTCAGTATAGGAAAATTATAACTTCCGATACGGTACTTACCTCCTCTCATAAGATTAGCTAGAATTCCACATTAATTAGGAGGAGGGACCTGTGCGAAGGAATGACAGAAGTACCCCCTGAAAGCATCCGAAGGATACCCCTGGAAATGAGAGATTCAGATCCAAAGATATCAGAAGAGGGGAACCGCACCACTTCTGAGCCAGGTATACTCTTCGCCCAACTGTGGAATGTGTAAATATAAGGGTGGAAAATGAGAGGAGCACATCCAAGTGGGAGAGAATGTAACAGGAAAGTGATCCTAACCATAGATATATACTGTAACTCAATCCCACAATGAGAAAGGTAGATAAACAAAGGATGTGCACCTAAGTGTAGAGTGGCTAGGGTGCAGTGGACTGTACTCAGTAAGTCAACTACATCCAAAACCTGCCCACAGGGTACCAACATCTGCATGAGGGTAGGATGAGGATCATACCATCTTCACCTCAAACCCTAGAATAGGAAGACTGAGAACCAATCCGATTCCCGGGTATGACACAAGGATTAGCTCTGAGCTATCAATCCAGGAATTTGACATCCAGTATCGAACAAATGCCTATTGCATGCAATAAACTCCCCAGCTGTAAAACAGCTCTGCGTAAAAAGAGAGGATGAGGGATAGCCAAGGACAGAACCAGAACAATCTCATGTACCGCTGCTGTGTGAGGACTTATGTTGATCAGTTCACTCTAAATCCAAAACTTGCCCATGGGGTACCGACATCCACGTGAGGGTAGGATGAGGGCTCCCAATCAAAGGGGTGAACTACCTTCTGACATCTCACTCTATTGTCATTGGTTATTGCAAACAGGAGGATATCACGTCATCTGCATTTTCAGAACATCACTGCCCTACTCTGTAACTGAATGGTTACTGTGTGGAACTCATTCAGCAGAGTGCCCACATGGTGGAAAGTGGTAAAGACTCCCATACTCCACACAAAGAAAGGAGGGTGATGATGTGGTGGAGAGTCCTGAGGAACATCATCACTTTATTTTGAAAAGCAGACCATACCGAGTTATTCATTCTAGGCATGGCAGAGATGGGCAGCAATCCCCTTCTGCTTTACCCATGCAATCCATGGATGGTATGGTCCGGGATGGGCAGGTTTATGAAGCAAAATATCATGAGGTCATGCACCTACAAGCAATCTTGTGGAACACTCCATCTCAACGATGAGTGTGTGAAGCCGTGGAAGATAAAGTGATAGTCAACATGGCTGGACAGTGCAGATTTTGAGTTAAAGAATACCTGGTCAGGCACCACTTGCAACAGAGCAGAATCCCTGTGATAAAGAAATAGAGAAAGGCCCCTGAAAAGAAAGTATGAATAAAGACTTACCAGTCAGAGTTGCACCAAAGTCTGAAGAATGGCCACAGGTATTAGACGAAAAGGAAACTGTGATATGATGGAGATAGCGGGAGATGAATGTACTGGGTGTGATCCACATGCCAGACTGCAGAATCTCCTCCATTGGATGACAAAGACGAGAAGCAAGGAAAAAAGTGAGGTGTCCGATTTGATGGGAGGACACCTGGAACAAATTCCGGGAGGAATAGGCCAGTCGATTCAAAAGATGGACCCAATTGGTAAGGGTAGAAGGTGAAAGATCACAAAGGGAGGAAAATTGCCAGGGATAAAGAATTGGGAACATGTACCCCGGAAAGAAGCAGTATGACAATATAACAACTATCTGGATTCGGTTGAGGGTAAAGATGAGAAATGGAAGGAAGGGAAATAGAAGAAAAGGAGGAACCACCCTCCCAAGGTCTGAGGGAGAAAAGAACAATCTGGATAAAGGAGAAGATAGGTAGGGTGATAAAGGGTACGTGAAATGTCAAACAAATCATACTGTCGATATCCACAGGCTAAGAGAAGGAAATATGTTTTAAGGGAAAGATGAAACATGGAACATGAGGAAAGTGGTTCAAACGAAGGTGAAGTAAGGGAATGGAGGACCACATTAACTTCACAATCCAGAAGGATAGGTCGCCTGGGAGGGTGATATATCCAGAAGGAACGCATGAGCATGGTAAGAACAGGGGAAGTAAAAACTCTATGGTATCAAGAAAAATGAAATGTATGGGATAATGCTGTCTGATATCCCAAAAGCTAGGAGACCAACGACACATGATCAAAGAGCAAGGTGAGAAATTCTGCCACACAAGCCACAGTATGCTGGTCAGCAGGAAACCCCCTAGTTGTAGAACACTTATGGAATACCTTCCACTTACATGGGTACACCTTTACAGATGATGAACGGATGGAACCAGCTAACAAGGAAGTGATTTGACGTGTGAAACCGGGTCTTCTTGCTAAGGACCAGACAAAAGCCAGACACAAAGACACAGGACATGTGACTGAGGTTGACAAAGAAAGTAGAAGAGGGACAGGAGCAGTCACTGTAACTGTGGAAACCGAGGCTAAGCTGGCCAATAAGGAGCAATCAGGAGAACCTGACAAGGAGTGGAGTGGATGAGAGAAATCACCTGATGAAGTAATCGGACAGGTGGTTGCACATAAAGATACTTGTGTGACCAATCCCCACTCAAGGCATCGACTGCCAGAGCCTGGGGATGAGGTACAGGCAACCAAAAGAGAGGTAACTTGTTGTTGAGGCCCATAGCAAAGGCATCCATGTGAGGAAAACCCCACCGATGGTAAATATCCTTGAAAACGAGAGGATCTAATGACCACTTTGTGGGATATATCCGGTCAGGGCATGAAAGACAATCTGCAACCAGATAGAAAACACCCGACACATGTCATGCAATAAGATGAATGTGATGTGCGTGCGCCCAGTATAAGAGATCCAATGCCCGAAAATAGAGATCTCTGGAACAGGTGCCTCTTGGTGGTTGTTATTTGACACCAACGTAGAATTGTCTGAATGAACCATCACCAGACAATGTCAGGCAAGAAAAAGGAAGTGATGCAATGCCTGACATATGGCTAGAAGCTTGAGAACACTGATATGCAAAGCACTTTCATTCGCAGACCAATGGTCTCAAGCCTCCTGGTGATTGACTCATGCCCCCCCATTCCTGAAGGGATGCATCTATGAAAAGATGTAGATCCGGATGCAGAGGAGGAAGCGGCACACCCGGCCACATATGGGCTTTGTCCAACCATCAAAGCAGATCTTCTTGTGGGGAAAAATGAAGGACAATGGGGTGGAAAGAGGATCTCGAGCAATGTTCCATCAATCTTGAAGCACCCACTGAGGGTGGACCAGTGATGTCACTGATGACCACATCCCCAAAAGCGATAGAACCTCACAAGCAGTAAATCATAGCTCCAAAGTATGAACATGTCAAGCAAAAGCTCGGACTACTCGGCAAAATACGAAAGGTGCCGAGGCAAGTCTGAAGGGGTAGGCCCAAAATTGATAAACCACCCCGAGATGGACAAACTGACAGACTGATGCTGGTTTGTCATGGGATCTTGAGGAAGAGGGAAGGAAATGTGATAAGGAAAGACAGTTAGTGGGGAAAGAAACTAGACAACGAATCCTTCTGACAGAACCTGAATCACCTGTTGATCGCCGACGAAGGAATGCTAGTGGTGAAGCAACTCGAACAGCTGAGCTCCCACTGGACCAGAACCCACTGTGTAGTCACCAGTACTGGTGGCAATGGGAAGGTGTGTGTGTGCATTGTTGAGAAGAAATACTCAGAGTAGAAGGGATGGGAAGGACGGGAAATGGTAATTGGAGGCATATGAGGCTCTGACTGAGATAAACAGGCTACGATATCCGTAAGGGTGGATTGTTGGATCGACGTCACCCGAGGCTCTAGAGTTTCCAGAGACATATAAAAAATGTAGCACCTCAGATATGAGACCATATGTAAATCCCTAAGATATGTGGAGGGTAAATAGATCTGAGCCAATACAGCATCACGACCAACAACAAAGAAACCACATATGTAATGCCAGAGCCGAAGACAGCATGAGGGCTAAAGTGAAGGAGAGAAAGGCAAGGGTATCTCCAGAAAACCCCTCAGGATTTCTGTGGAGAGCCTCAAATAGGAGATGTATAGAAGAAAAATACTGAAATAGATTTTTAAGCAAGAATATTGAGCATGGGTAAAACTGACAGATGATTCAAAAGCTGCCCCCCAACTAGACAATATTGAACCTAACAACTGCTGGTTTAAAAAATGGATAGTCAGCACAATGTTAGGAAAGTGCAAACTGATCTGAAGTTTGGGGGGGGGGGTGGGGGGTCAGCATACTACTTCC